TTTTGAAGGAGTGTCCGACAGTGACAGCGTTGTGCTGGACAGATTTGTGCAGCGGAGTTCATGATAACCATTCAATTCACACATGGCTGTTGTCAATGTGTTTGTGTGAGAGAAAGAAAGAGAGAGAGAGAGAGAGAGAGAGAGAGAGAGAGAGAGAGAGAGAGAGAGAGAGAGAGCTGGCATTCAAACCGTAATAGCAGCAGCCCTATACAAACACAGTCAAAGAAAACTACATTTCCTAAGAGAAAATATTTGCTCAGTGCTTTAAAAATAAAGATGTGAGACAAAACAGTACACCAGCCTTGAGGGTTTCATTTACACGTTAAGAAATAAAAATACCGTTTGGACTGTCATGATGGTGTTTGCTGACTAATGTGTAGCAAAGATAATTGGGGCCCACAGAATTGCAGACGAGTCAAGGCAGGGCTGGCCCTGACATTGTTGGACCCCTACGAGAGATTTTAAATTGATGCCCCCCCTTGCCAAACCCAAAAAAGTCCACCTCAGGGGTTGGGATCATTACTCTAGTATCCACAGGAAGTGTTTTAAACATTCAGCAGCCAAACTCACAATTTTAGCATGAATAGACGAACAGCCAAGTCAGTAATCAGGTCAATTGTGAAAAAGTGTGATCAGCATACTTGTCAACATCAACATCATAGCCTAAATTGGGAGATCAGACCTACATGTGTTACTCCATAAATTGTGTGTCAATTCAGAGACTTTTTTTTGCTTTATGGGGTAGATGTCTTGAAATGCAAGAACACTGGTTTAGTTACAATGGTGGAGGGGGCAGAAATGAGGAGAAGGGTCTGGGTCCTCCTCCAGAAAATTTTAATCATTGAAGACTTAATTTCCTGCATTCTGGTGAAAATTTCTGCACCAATTTCTGCTTTTCTGCCTCAATTTATGGTGGAAAAGTCCTAATTTCTGTAAATGGAAACACAAAATTCAGGCAACAGGTGACAATTAAAACATACAAAAAATTAATGGAATATAATGCAGTAAGATTTTCAAGCATTCTGTTAATAGCCTATTTTCCTCTTGTAGATCAGCTTTTCTAATTTAATAAAATCCCTGCAGAGTCAGTACACATGCAGGCATGCATCCAGTAAAGTGCAGCTCACAGCAAACAGAGCAAGGATGCGTCTCAGGTGCAGCGTTTTTATACCCCGCCCCTGCAGTTGCACACAGCTCACATTTGACTATCAAATTGGGGAAAGTCAGCCACAGTCCTCTCAAATGTATTTATTGACATGCGGTTAGCCGCCTGAATATTTACATTTAATAATTTATTATTGTATTTACCCAATAGATGTAATGCAAAGTGTAAAGGCATCTCTTGAAACGTCTGTGATGTCTGTCTTGGCCAGCCACGCGGCTCTACCAGTTTCCTCGATAAATTTCAATACATCGTTGACAGAAGCACATCACAGGGAGAAGGGTGTCGAAGAATGACTATTTATTAATCTGAGTTTCGTCTGCCCTTGAGTATGGATAAATAAAAAAATGTGCTATTTCCCAGAATATTACTTCCCATTAAGTTACATAGGTTGTGCTGAGCTGTCAGCTGATGTACAACTGAGATGGCTGCTATCAGCTGATATGTTTGAATGAGCTGAGCTTGACTTTGTTGCCTTGCCTGCCCATTTTCATCAAAGACTAATATTGTGGCATTGTTGTTATATTTGGCGGTATGGCTCTGTTCTGCGAGCACACCTCCCTGCCCTTCCAAATGCCTACATGGAAAAGCCATAAGATAAGGAGAGCACCTCCCTGCCCATCCATGCGCATACATAGAAAGTCTGAGGCAGAGAGCAGCAGTAAAGAACCCCCCAAACACTACACTGTCCTTCCACGTGCTTATGTGGAAAGCTATAAGGTAGGGAGAGCTTTTTTTTTTTGCTTAAGTTACTTTTTTTGGACAATGCAGAGGTTTCTTTTGCTGTTTTGCCCGGTATGCCAGATTACCAGTCCAGCCCTGCATAAAATGTCTATGTTTTCGATTTGGCAAATTATCTGTCAAACAAACTAAAATTGACTGCGCCATATGGCTTCGTTCTCTTATCAAATCGTAAGGCTGCAATTTAATTAAATAAGTATAAATAAGATATTAAATCAATATAAATAAGTAATTTTATTAGGTTAAATTTTAAATGAACTACTTTTACTTGAGTAGATTTTTTGTATTGGTAATTTTACTTCTATTTAAGTAAAAGTTCATCAATGTCATCGTACTTTTACTTAAGTAGAATATTTTTGACTGTCTGTCGGCTAATATTTTTAAATACAAAGGATTAAATGACATGTGAACTGGTGAAGAGTGATTAAAGATGATATACTTAAACAAAATGTAACTGTCAGTGATTGGATCAACTCAAAGAAAAAAATATTCAGAGAGAATCACGTCTCTAAAACACCTTCACCTTACATTTTATAATGCAGGAACATTTTTAGGATACCTTTTTTAGATCTTGGTCGTTAATAATTATATCTTTTAACTGTATTGAGGATTTTAGTCATCAGACGTCTGGATCAGACAAATAAGCAGAGCAAACGTTAGTGATAGCTCACTTCGCAGCATCCTGTGTCCGCTGAACAGTGTTGGTGTCTCTCACTGAACACAGGCTTTCCATTAAAACAATATAATAATAAAAGTGATAGATGCTCAGCAAAAGCGCTCACTACATAAATATTAGTGAATAAAAACAATGCCACAAACACAATGTTACAAACATTATACAAACAAAACTTTAAGCTGGACATGGTTAACTTTGTGCCTGCATGTGAATTTTGTTTGTGTTTTTTCAGCGTGCGTGTCTTTAGTTCCTGGTTTTGTGAGAGATGGCAAGATAAGTGACTTCATCCTCAGTTCCTGGAAAGATCCGTCTATAACTGTATATAAGAGCTGGTGTTTCTCTGGTTCAGGACGACTGAAGCTACAGACACTGAGAAGGAAGAAGAGAAGATCGTTCTGCAGCAGGTTTGCTCACAAACTGTCATTATATATTGACCTGACTGCCGCTACAGGTGGTCTCTTCCCTAGAGAAGTATTACTAACATGTCCCTGTCTGTCTTTATTAAAGGTAATCATCATCTTCAACATCTGCATCATCTCCACCATGAAGACGCTGACTCTGTCTGCACTTCTTTGTGCCATGATGGCTCTGACCAGAGCTGCTGGTGAGTATTACTCCATATGTGAGTGAGTGTGAACGAGAGACAGCTTATGTTCATGTGTTATACACAGCAACAAGGGTAGATGAAGACATGAACTCACTAGTGGGTCAAAATGTCCTTCCAGCTCTTCCAGACGCAGAGGCTGGACCTGGGTCAGAGGGATCTGCTGTCCAAGGTGAGTGCATATTTCTTTAGATTTGTAATGGTGCTCTCTTGTTATCAAATACATAAGACATCAGTATTACTGCATGTAAAGAGAAAGAAATTCAATAATAATAATTGATCAAACAGAACTACTTCATCTACTACTGTAGACTCATTATCCACTCTTGTCTGTTTGACTTCAGCAGAGAGTCGTGTTGTCAAGAGGTCCCCATGTTGTCCTGAGGGTTGGACTGCTTTCAACAGTCGCTGTTTCCTCTACGTTGCAAAAGCCATGAGTTGGGCTGTGGCTGAGGTGATCAGGATTATCAGTGAAGCTTCTACATTATGTTTATTCTGTTCACTACTCTCACACTTCTTTCTCCACTGTAGACAAACTGTCAGTTCCTGGGTGGAAACCTTGCATCTGTTCACAACATCCAGGAGTACCAAGAGATTCAGAGGACGATAGTGAAAGACTCTCATAATCAAGGAGAAACATGGATCGGAGGGTCTGATGCAGAACAGGTACATTATCATCATTATATAATGTGCAACAGTTATTTAATTAAAGAATTATTGTCTTATCTTTTTATTCATACAGTATTCTCTTCTGTATTGAAGGAGGGATTTTGGTTCTGGAGTGATGGTACACCTTTCAGCTTTACTCAGTGGTGTCCTGGACAACCTGATAACTTTCAAGGTCATCAGAACTGTCTGCTAATGAATTTTTCAGGTAAATTTTCACAAACTGTGGTGTTGTGATTATTGTTATAAATATTGTTTGACTTTGTTCAAGATGAGAAATACAGTTTTGAGTGTGAGTGTTTCATGAATTCCTTGATAATCAAGCAAGCAGACTCATAGTACCATTTGTTCTAATATAATCCATTCGCAAATTGCAATATTGTCCACAATAATCGCTTTATGACTTTTCACATAATCCTGCAGCCCTAGTAGAGAGGAAACTAGATGCTGCAGAAGCGGTTTGGTGGCTTCTGTACAGAGCAGCGGGCTGTCACTCAGTTTAAAGAGCTCCCACACAGCTGAGGGCTTTATTTTGTTTTCCCTTCGATGTGAACAGGAGCGTTACGTTCACTGCTGTGAGCGGAGGTCAGGTGTGCAACGAAAACCTGAATATTCAAATCCCAAAATTTAAAATCTAATCTATCTATAAAGTATCAAAAGTAATGTAATAATCTAAAATGGCCCTATAGACAGTATTATTATGGATATATCAGCTATATCATAGGCTGATATTTTATTATTGGATTATAATTGTTGATGCATTTATGTACAAGCAAAGAATTTGCATCAATAATTTTTAATCGAGTTACTCGAATTTATCAAATTGTTTCAGCCCTATATGACGGTGTCCAATGTATGTAAATTTTCACAAACTGTGGTGTTGTGATGACAACAGTCAGGAGTTTCTGTCTGTAACTGTGAGTGATGATGTTCAAACGGACATATATCCCAGGATGAATGAACTGCTGTGTTTTTGGTTGTTACAGATCTGAAAGGCTGGGATGACCGTGGTTGTGAAGCTCAGTTCCCATCTGTCTGTGTCAGAAATGTCTGATAAAAGCACAAACACTGATTTGTGCTTTTGATTTCTGTTTGTCTCTCTGTGAGGAAACTCGTCTCTTCAGCCACCAGTCTCATATTTGACCGGAAGGCTCTATATCTCATTTCACATCTTTATTTCTTCTCTATCGCTGTACGCTACTTAAGGAGCGAAGCCACATGTGACATAAACAGCAGCTGGATTGTCTCTGTCTCTATACGAGCAGACTGAATATGTAATGAAAAGAAAGCTTTTAGCACAACTTTATTCTGCAGACTGAACTGTTTCTTCTCTTATGCAAAATTAAAAGTCTCAAGCATTGAAACAAGCTGGTCTGTGTTATATCTCTTGTTTGTGTGAGTTTAATTTGCCTGGACCTCAAAGAACTTTAGCTTTAATACTGTTAAATAATACTGAACATTATAATTGTTGGGAGCACCTAGTGAAAATGTCCATTCAATAAAACCTAATGAGATGATACAGGTGCGATGTGATCCAAACCTCAAATGGATTTTTCTATTCAAAGTTTTCGAGTGTCCAACAGCATTTGGTTTAGTTTAACCCTCCTGTTGTGTTCTGGGCAATATAAATAAATGACTGAGGTATGTTTCATCTAATTGAGCAAAGGCTTTATGTATTGATTTTTAATGGTTTTATTAAAACTTTGCCCCTCCCTGGCGTTCCAAGGAAAATTGACCGGCCTTGAGAAATTAATGTGAGAGACTATATTATATTCAACATATAGAAAACTTCCCCGTACACCCCACACCACACCCATCTAACTATGTTTTTAAAATAAATGTTCATTTGAAAATAAGTTGTCACGAATTTTCTTTCAGAAGAAAATCATTCAGTTTAGGACCAGAAACAGTGGGACAATGGGACTTTAAAAAAATATGATTTCAAAACAGTGTCCTGGTTCAATAGATCCCAGTCTTTGACGTGCCCCTAAAACAGATAAGCCTACGTACAATGACAAAAATGATTTATGAGCACCAGCTGGTTCAAAACATAGTCAGGCATAAAGTCTAAGTTTTAAAGCGCGCTCTTTGACAGAGAAAGAGAGACGTCTGCAGCAGCTGAAGCAGTAAGACAGAAGAAAACAGGGAGAAGATAAGGAAGGTTTGGGTTTGGCTTGCTGGCCATTTAACATTAGCTGTATGCGTGCATTTAGTTGCTTTCAACCTTTCACAGAGCCGACACGCCTGTCAGTCACTTTTCGTCAACAGACCAATCACATTAAAAAAAGTTTGACCTGCTACAGCAAGTCATTAAAGTTGAACAATATGATTATTGACAAGTTAGTACTTAGCATTAACACATTAGAGACCAATGTAGAGCCTTTTTCTTGCACAAGGATTTAATTAATAAAAACAACCCACAGAAATGAAACAGTTGTAACTGGATTTAATGTTCGACTAGAGGTAAAAATAGTAGGCAATACTATCATATTACTGTTATACTAAGAGTATACTAACTAAACATTATACTCTTTTTTTTAATACACTCATGTACAGTTCCTCCTCCAGGTTGTGGATAGAGACTCTGCATTAGACAGATGTGCAATGAGCCGTCTGCCAATATTTGCTCCTTCTAGCCGCCTCCTCTGTAGAGCAACACGCTCCCCTTGTTCTGTTTTACATCTGTTTCACTTGTTATTGTTATAAATATTGTTTGACTTTGTTCAAGATGAGAAATACAGTTTTGAGTGTGAGTGTTTCATGAATTCCTTGATAATCAAGCAAGCAGACTCATAGTACCATTTGTTCTAATATAATCCATTCGCAAATTGCAATATTGTCCACAATAATCGCTTTATGACTTTTCACATAATCCTGCAGCCCTAGTAGAGAGGAAAACTAGATGCTGCAGAAGCGGTTTGGTGGCTTCTGTACAGAGCAGCGGGCTGTCATCACTCAGTTTAAAGAGC